TCAACACAAATGAATGAGGATGGCTGTGTGGTTCCTTACAGAGTGTGCCTCGTGATGCGCAGGCCGGGGTATTCGTGTTTCTCTATTAAATGAGGAGATTCGTGTAAAGAGCTAGTTCCGGGCTGGCTTGCGGTCTGTTCTCGGTAGACACATGCTGTCACTGGGGAGCTAGAATGGTTAGCTCCAGGCCTCCGCTCCCTTCCCAAGCAGAGTCTGAGCAGGAAGTAAGAGTCCTGCCCAAGGAGGAGGAGACTGCACCTGAGGCTGTTCCTCAACCCTCCCTTTGTCTCCCTGCCCCTGTGGACTAAGACACATCTAGCAACCAGAGGTGGGGCTATCTTATCACCTGGCCGCCAGGTACAGCACAGGGTGTCCAGACCACAGAACTGCTTTGGGGAAATGCCTTTAACTAGGCTGGGAGTGGTCTGGCCTTTGTCCTTGGCGAGGCATGTGACAGTTTGTGGAAAACATAATCTGGTATAAACCAGCACGGACCCATCACGGGGGATTAGCCTTGGCTTTTCTGCCTCCAACCCCAGGGGAAAGGTATTTCCTCCCTCGCCAGTACTGTCTGGGGGAGAGTCCAGCAGGGCCCCTGGACTGGTCTGTAAGAGCATGCAGGCAGTGAGTCTACATACTGAGTTCCAGGACAGCCAGGGCACTGTAGAGAGCACAGCCTCTGGTTGGAGACACTGGTGTGTGTGGACTCACATCTTAGCTTTCCCCTGAAGTCAGAAAGTTCCAGGCCTAGCAGAGCTACAATAGGAAGACCCTGTCTGAAAAAAAAAAAAAAAAAAAAGTGGGCAGTATTAGAGGAAGACAGGCAGGCAGGAAAAGAGTGAGGGAAGAAAGGAGTGTGGGGTGAACTGAACCCCAGATGCGCCCAGCCTCGACCTTGCTCATTGCTACTGTGAAGGAGGGTGCTACCTGACTTGGAGGGTTCTGAGTGTCCTCTAAGCTTTAGGCTTATTAGGAATCTGGCACCCTCAAATGCTCTCCCTCATCTTTGCTGGAGCTGGTTGGGTTCAGGGCATAAGAGGTAGACAGAAGGAAGAGCCTGGAATGCTGGTGCGTGGGCTTCTTGGTTTTTGGGTTTTTTTTTGGTTTTTACGAGACAGGGTTTCTCTGTATTGTTTTGGAGGCTGTTGGTCCAGCCCGGCCTCGAACTCACAGAGATCCACCTGTCTCTGCCTCCCAAGTGCTGGGATTAAAGGCGTGCACCACCACCGCCCGGCTTGGTGTGTGGGCTTCTAATGCCAGCACTTGGATCAGATGTGTTCGGTTTTGGCTACCTGGTGAGCTCAAAGCCAGCCTGGGTTACCTGAAGATTCTGTTTCAAAAAAGCCAGGCGGTGGTGGTGTGCACCTTTAGTAGCAGCACTCGGGAGGGAGTCAGAGGTGGATCTCTGTGAGTTCGAGGTCATCCTTATCTACACAGTGAGCTTCAGGATTAGCCTCTAAAACCCAAAGCTGCAGAGAAACTTGGTCTCGAAAAAAACAGTTCCCACACACTTCTAGCCTCCAGGGTAGGTAGCTCAGAGCCTGTGGAAACACTTCCTTAGAAGACCCAATGATGTGATAACTGGTTAGTAAAGGGGGTATCTGGGTGCAGCATCACTTGTTACTGTGTGATGCTGGGCAGAATCCTTTCCTCCCTTGCTCCCCAGAGGCCTCACCTGGGACCTGGATTCCTGGTGGTCCCCGGATGAAAACGAGAGGTGCCTAGCTCCCGGGAAGTGCTTAGCACGGGGCTACTGTGAGCCCTGAACCTGCTTTGGGGCTCACTCCCAATAACCTTGTCGTCCATGCGCCACCCAGGGGAACACAGACGCAGATTGTTTCTCTCTCTCAGTGGCTGCGTCATCGCTCGCTCTGTAGCCTCGCCACGGATGCAACACGGATTTTGTCCTCTCTGAGGCCGCCACTGTGTTTCATTTGTTGTTAATGGGCATGTTTTTTATTGCAGTCTTTCACTGGCCTTGCATTGTCCTCTCAGATTAAGATAATAACACCTTGGGTTAATTACACCTTGCACTTGCTTTGCTTTCATCTCAAGAGCTCAAAGTCCTCTGCAAGCATGACCTCATTCGTTCTTCCCTGGTCCAGGGGGCCGGGCACTCACTCCTTCCACTCCCAGCTGGATTCTCAGAAGCCTGCCTATGTGGTGATGGAGCCCTTCAACCCGTCAGGACCTCAGATCACAGGCACAGCTCTGCGGCTCTCCCGCCTCCTTCTGGGGTGACCTTTGCCCACAGATCACCTGAGCCCCAGCCCCTCTGAGGCTCACATGCTATGCCCATCCCAGTTGTCCCCAGCTGTGTCCTGCACAGGGAAAACATTAGATAATCCTTAGAGATAAATTGCCTTGATGTCCAGGAAGTAACAGATTTGGCAGCTTCCAGGTTTGTTTTTTTTTTGTTTTTGTTTTTTGGTTTTTGGTTTTTGGTTTTTCGAAGCTTCCAGGTTTTATGTTCCTTGAGAGTTGGATTTGAATTCTCTACAAAGACCAGGCTAACCTCCGGACTCCTGATCCTCCTGCCCCACACTCCCCAATACTGGGATTACAGGCCTTCATACCATGGTGGGCGTGAGAACTTTTTAATTAAGACCCAGAGGCTATAGGCACGTTCTTTTAAAACGTCCATACCCAAGCTAGACCTTGTTCCTCACCACCCTGGCACGCTTGACACCTGTATGTACTTGTGAAAACCTGGAGCCCACAAGATCAGCGCTTCCGTGTTCTGGGGCAGCTCTCGGCAGTGCCGGCTGCTGGCTGCTTCCTGTTATTTTCACCTTGCAATTACCTGGGAGAGCAGAGCCTGGGTACCCACATCTCTGCGTTCAACCAAACGGCGCTAAAAAATACTCAGACAGAAAACGGCCTGTACAGACTTTTTCAAAACATGCACACACTTTTCTTTTTTTTTTTTTTTTGAGCAACACAGTACAACTATTTTACTGGTGTTTACATTCTGTTACTATAGTGTGTTTTAGAAAGTGTTTAAAATATATGGGGGACTGTGTATGGGTCATGTAAAAAAAAACGCTATGCTATGTTATAGTATGCTATATAAAAGGAATTGAGTGTCCACAGATTTTGGTAGCTCTAGGGGGTTGGATGTGGAGGGATCAAGTTTACTTGGCTCCCCAACTACACTCATGGCCTCAGTCCACGGGAATTCTGGGGTGTCCAAGAATAATTATAGTACTCCTACCCCCTCAAAACAAACAAACAAACCAACAGGAAGACCAATGAGATCATCCATTCTACTGCCCAAAGCAGGTGTTGTTGTCTTCTTGTGATGCTAGGGAGATGGCCAGGGCTTCCTGCATGCTAGACAAGCCCTACCACCCAGCTTCACAACTACTGTGCTTTCCTGGGTATGCAAACATTGGTTGTAACCCTATCCTTATCAAAAATGGCCAGGTTCCTTTAGATGGATGATTGACTCCTTTTATGCAGAATAAAAGTAGGCCTGACAGGTGATTCAGTGAGAAAAGGCACTTACTGTCAAGCCTGCCGGCCTGAGTCTGATTTTGCAAACCTTGGAAAGAGAGACCTGACTCCCATGCAGCTGACTCTCGTGGGTAAGTGAATAGAAACAGGGCTTGATTTCTTCTTGCTGTCCCTTTGTTCTGCACAGCCCTAACTAGTCAAAATATACTCCGCAATTAGTTCTGATGAAAAAACAGTGTAAATCTACCTGCACCAAAAGCCCTAACAATAATTCATTCCCTAATCCAGTCCTCCAGAACAGGGATGGAACCGTTACCAGACCCCCTCCCCACAGTACAGAACCATGGATGTGTGAGGGTTTTACTTTACAATGTGTAATGCTTACCTTATAAATCAAGTTCGCCATCCCATGTACCTTAAGTCATCTTTAGGTCACCTTAATACTCAATACTATGTAAACTCTATGTATGTACCGATACACCATCGATTCGGGAATAATGAATGACAAGGGGAAAAAGTCTTCATGCTGAAACCTGCCACTGACCAGCTCCTTTCTTCCTTTGGGGTGTGTGTGTGTTGTGTTTGTGTGTGCGCACAAGCCTTTGAGACGGATTTTTCTCTATGTAGCCCTGGCTGTCCTTGAACTCACTACGTAGGCAAGGCTGGTCTCCAGCTCAAGATAGAGAAGCCCGTCTCCTCCCTGAGGGCTGATTGCTGGAATTAAAAACTTGCATTACTACGCCCTTTTGTTGGTAGTGTTTTAGTTTTGTTTTTGTTTGTTTTTTTTTTCCTTTTTTGGAATTTGAACCCTAAGACCTCACGCTGTGCGATGTGCGTTGTGTTTCAAAAAATCTTTTTCTTTCTTTTTCAAGCAAGACTGTTTAGAGGCTATTTAAAAATTTAAATACTCTTGAGAGCCGAGTAGCTAGCTGCAAAGGTTCTCTTGTGTGTTTTCTATTTTGATCACTGTTTCCCGAGATGACCACATCTTTCAGAGGAAGTGAGTCAAAGCCACACTCAAGTCTCGCTTTTCCAGCTGAGCATGTTCGGTTTCAATGAAGTAATGAATGAACTCGGCCAGCACCACCCCCACGCCGACAAACAGCAAACACACGGGGGAGGGGGCAGGAGGCTCCACCAATCAGCGCGCACTCAAGGGCTCCGAGTTGAGTTCAAACGGGCCTACGGTAGGCCAATCAGCGCTTCGGGCCCCCGCCCACCCCGGTTTCCCCAGCCAATCACCAACCCGGAGGAGCCAAAACACGGAGGCCGACCAATGGCAGGGCGCCCCCGCGGCGCCGGCTCCGCCAATGGGGCGCGGCCGGGCGAGAAGAGAAACAGAGCGGGCCGGGCCCGCCGCAGGATTCGAATAGAACGTCCGTGTGGGAGCCGGGGCGGCCGGCCGCGAGCGGCGCGCGGGCCAATCAGCAGCGGCGGCGGCGGCGGCGGCGGCTCGCGGGTTCCCCCCTCCCACCCCCGGAACGTTGGGTCCCGGCGGCCCCGCCCCGCGCGCCTGTTGTTTGCGGCGGCGGCGGCGGCCGCGCGAGCCGGACCACAACACTCGCCGGGCGGCGGCGGCGGCGGAGCTGCGAGCGCGATCCCCGGGGCGGGGGCGGGGGCGGCCGCGCAGCGCCATGTCGGTGAACACGGACGAGCTGCGGCACCAGGTCATGATCAACCAGTTCGTGCTGGCCGCGGGCTGCGCGGCCGACCAGGCTCAGCAGCTGCTGCAGGCGGCGCACTGGCAGTTCGAGGTGCGCGCGGGCGGGCGAGCGGGCGGCCGGGGGAGCCCGGGCGGCCTCGGGAGGGCTTGGGCTTGGGCTTGGGCGCGCGGGGGCCCGGGGAGCGCGGGGCGAGCGTGGGCCGCGCCGGGGGAAGCCGGGCCAGGCCTCGCTCACGCCGCCCCCCTCCGCCGCGTCCCGCGTTTGTCCGCAGACCGCCCTGAGCACGTTCTTCCAGGAAAGCAACATTCCCAACGGCCACCACCACCCTCAGATGGTAAGTGCCCCTCGGGGAGCCCCGCGGAGGAGGGGGGGCGCCCGCTGTCATGCCAGCGCGCCGGTGACAGCCATGTTGCCGGGGAGCGCCGCGCCGCGGATGTAAACAAAGAGCCAAAATGTCTTCCAGGAAAGAGCGCTCCCAGGCCGGCGCCGGCTCGCCCAACTTTGGAACCCGCCTCCGGGCTCCTGGATCTGGGCCTGAGGCCCTGCGCTGGGTGGGCGCTGTGCCCTGGGCCTAGGGGTCCCTGGCGTTGGGGAGGTGTGGGGGGGGAGTGGAGTGGAGGGACAAACCCCCCTTCCCCCCGAGTACGAGCAGGGTCTCGGGAGTCTGGTGGTGGCGGAGGATGAGGAAGGGACTCGATGATAACCAGACCCCTGGGGGAGCTCAGGGGAAGGGGACGGAAGTAGGGATTTACACACACACAGACACACACACACACACACACACACACACACACACACACACGGGATTTGGGGGTTGGTGCAGCGCGCAGACACACGTACAACACACACCCCACCCCCCAGTGCTGCTGCAGGAAGCAGGGAAAGTAGGTCCACCCTGGCTCGGGAAGCCCAGCTCTGCCTACAAAGGTTAGGGTGGCCCTTTCCAAAGCCTTGGGGGTACGTACCCCGTCTGGGGGATATGCGGATTTATGTACCCAAGGTAAGGAAAGACTGTCTTTTAACCTCAGTATGTTGAGAGACAAACAGTGCAGGAAAAAGAAGCCTCAGACCTGGGTTTGTCTTCCAACTTGGCTGCAGGCTCAAGCCTTTGCCCTCCTGGTCAGGTTTCTTGAGGCCCAGGCCATCCCCTCTCCACCCCAATCCCTGGTTATCTATTAGCTCTGATCGTGTAGGCGGGCCTGAGCCCCGTGGAGGCTTGGTAAAACATTATTCCTGAGAAGATTTACGGTTAACATTTTTGGCATTTTTTTTTATTTTTACCTCAGCGTCCTTGTCCCTGGCTCTCCCCGGGGGAAACTGGACGTGGTGTCTCCTCTGCTGTGTCTTGTTCTTGGCACTGTTTTCTTCCAGTCAGGGATTTAAACTTGCTTCCTTTCAGCATTTTGGAGTCAAATGGAAAAGTGAATGGCGCTGAGGCCAGCCTCTTAGGAAAGGAATCCCCTCCAAGACCCCTCCCCTGCACCCAGGCATGCAGACTTTTAGATTCCTCCATCCCTAACTCAATGTCTTCCTGCCCACAAGACCACGCACAAAAACACAGCCAGCGTTTTTAGGGGCTTGGAACAAGGGAGCTGGCAGTCCCCAGCTTGAACCAAAGTCCTGGTTGGTGTCCCTCTGCAAGCGTGTGTGTGTGTGTGTGTGTGCGTGCGTGCGTGTGCGTGTGCGTGTGTGTGTGTGTGTGTGTGTGTGTGTGTGTGTGTGTGTGATAGAAGCTCCCCTCGGGGAAGGGGCTGGGTTCGCACTACAATCAATGCACTCATCAGACAGGGACATGTGCTGGGGGTTTCACCAACACAGTACACCAGCCCTGTTCTGGGAGTCAGTACTGTTTTTTGAGACAAAATAATTAGAGAAGTTATTAAAACATTGGAGTCCAGCACTTGGGAGGTTGAGGCAGGAGGACTGTTGTGAACTCCAGGTCAGCCTGGGCTATCCAGGAAGACCCTTTCTCTGGAGATTTACCGTAGCCCATAAAGGATTTCTGTGCATATTGCCAGGCAGTTGGAAGAAGCCTCACAGATGAGAAGGGTCCCCTGGTGCTTGAGGGGGAGGGGCAAGAAGGGCAGTTGTTGAGAGGAAGCGGAGGACCCTGGCCAATCCAGGGACACTGTTACTTGAGATTACAGGAAGGGCTCTAGAAGATGTAGTTGAGGCCCCAGCTTGAGGCCTGAACGCAGAGAGGCCTGGGGATGTGCCGGGGTTCACTCAGCACATGGGCACCGGCCCTGCTAACCTTGGAGCAGTTTTCCAGAGCAGGGCGACTGTTGAAAAGACCTGGCCTCTGGCTCAGTGGACTGGGGAAGTCGGTCACGATGCTGTGATGCAACTGCAGCCGCAACCCCCCATTCATTGTTTCCTGCTGCAGAGAAGTCATGGGGGTGGGCAAGGAACCGTGGCGGGAGGAGGGAAGTGTCAGGGAGGGGCTGGACCTGGCTGAGGCCTTTGGCCTTCCCTGTGGGGCCTTGAACACACAATGGTCCAAATCCCCAGGAGCCGACGTGGCACAGCCTCAATGGACGGGGTGAGGTGGGGTCCCTGCCTCAGTTTCTGGCTTTGCTTTAACTCGAGTGATAAAATTCTGGCATCCTGTCTCACCACCCCATCCCCCACCCCGTGCCCTGTGCCTTGGGGAGGAGCCAGTGTTGCTAAAATTGGGAGAAACTGAAAGGACTCCCTGGCCTCCTGAGGAAGGGAGAGGCCTTGAGGGCAGTCAGCTAGCTCCTGTGGGGCCTGGACTCTCACCCACCTGTTCCCAGTCCATGGGCTGAGCAGTGGTGCTTGTTACCCAGGAGTGCGCTGCTGGCATTTGGGGCTGGCATGCCTGACTGCATGTTTGTACTGGGAGCCCAGAGCTGACTGGCACTTAACCCTGAACGCAGAGTTCACCTGGACAGAGGCTTCAGCGCCTGGGATGATGCCTGGAACCCTACAGACTCCAAAGTCACTTGCTTTGGGTGCATGTCCTGTCGTGACTTAACCTTTGGGTCTCAGTTTCCTCGTTTGTAATACAGAAAGATTATCGAGCTAGCCAGATCTCTTGTAGGAAGTGCGAGTGGAGGGGGCCAGGGTCCCCCTGTTGAACACGTGGGAGGAATGGAAACCCCAGGAAAGTGCAGCTTTTCTGTGGCTGGTACAGGGAGGAGACCCTCCACCTGGTCTGCTCCATGGTGCCCAGCACCCTGGGGACGTCTGCGGGTGGGTTGTGGAGGAAGCCAGCTGGCTCTCCTGGCCGGGAAAGGAGCCGGGCAGTGGTGTCCCGGGCTGCTCCTTGTCCTTTCAAGATGACACCTTAGCTTTGAGTCGGAATTAACCATTGGCATCTCATGGTCCCGGGTGTCACGTCTGAGCACTGGGCAACCTTTGGATTTTGCTCTTGTCTTTCATCGGCTCTGGGGAGATGGGTGGTGTGTTGACATTGTCTGGGCTGCAACTGCCAGGACCCTCACCCACTTTTTCCCCCACAGATGTGTACTCCCAGCAACACCCCTGCCACGCCACCCAACTTCCCTGATGCACTAGCCATGTTCTCCAAGCTTCGAGCCTCTGAGGGCCTGCAGAACAGCAACAGCCCCATGACAGCTGTGGCCTGCTCCCCCCCTGCAAACTTCAGCCCCTTCTGGGCCACATCCCCACCCAACCACCAGACGACCTGGATCCCACCCTCTTCCCCCAGTTCCTTCCATCACCTCCACTGCCCACAGCCCACGTGGCCCCCGGGAGCATCACAGGGCGGCGCCCAGCAGAAAGCCATGGCAGCCATGGATGGCCAGAGATGAGACTGGATGTCGCTGGGCTGGAATGGGGGCAGCCCAGGGTCGTGGGGACACAGCAGGGCTGGGGGGGGAGACACAAGAGGGTGGGTTTCAAGATCGCACTGGAAGATTTTATAAGAGTTTGTGGGCGGGGCACAGTAAACGTCCTGAGCCACTTGGGTTCCTCAGGAGTCTCTCTTTGGGAAAGTTTCCTCTTTTTAATATATAACTATAATATATATGGATATAAATTTAATGTACGCGAGTGGGCCCTGCACACCAGGGGCATTGGGTTGGAAGGGAATGGCCTCAGAAATCCCTCTCCTCGACTGCACCTCTCCTCTGCCCGATTTGGAGGAACAGGGTGCCATGGCCAGATGGGGGAGCTCCAGCCAGCGGCTGCTCTGCCTTCAGGAAGTGCCCCGCCCACGGGAGGTCCCACAAGGGTCTTGTTGGAATCATGGACGGTCTGCCCCATCCCTGGTGCATGGAGCTTTCATCTCTGCTGGTGGTGGCCCTGAAGTTTGTCACCCTGTCCCCAGCCGGGTGTGCAGAGCTGGTAGGACTGGAGTTGGCTGACCTCTGAGTGCACACTTGGCTGTCCCACAGGTCCCCAGCCTCTCTGCGTCCAGCTCCAGAGGACGACAACTCAGGAGAGCCTGCCTTCCTTTAGATTTGAGTTCCTAAATTAGAATCACATCTCACCAGGGTGCAATTTTAATTTAAAAACTTTTAAAAGACTTTTCTAACTAACTGATTTGTGGTACTTTTGTTTGCTTTGGTGGTGGTGGGAAGGTCGGCGGGGGCTTTCCCTGGGGTGGCAGTGTGGTTGTCGTATTTCCTTGTGAGGATACAGGGTCCGAGTGTTGGGGAGTACAGGTGGCAACAGGTCCTTTCCTGGTTTGTGTGCATTTCCTCTTTCCTCGCCTGGAAGCCATTTCTGCCACTGGCTGTGCCGTTGCCCCAGTGGCTGTTGCCTCCAGGCCTGCCTCTGTTAGTGCCCTCCTGAGCAGATTGTATAGGGGGCTGTTGAACATGCAGCCACAACCAAGGGTGTCCCAGTGCCACAAAGTGGATTTCTGAAGGTGCTGGGGTGGTGTCGGCCCTGTAACCTGCTCCTGGCTGTAGGAGTGACCAGTCACGCAGGAGGGGCCCTCCGGGAGCTTTCCCTACGAAGCTCTCTGGTGTCTCCAGCCCTGCTGCTCTCTTCTGAGAGGCTGGGATGCAGGACTGAGTGGGGAAGACGGCCCACAGCGAAGTGAGACTGACAGGGTCCCAGCCCGGCAGCCCCCCTACCCTGCTGTTTCTTCTTCAGACGCCCGGGGCGGAGCGGGGCGGGGCTGTGGGCCCGGATACCCTCCAGTGCGAGCGGGGCGCAGCTGGCTTGGAAGCGGGTTTACCCTTCCAGTTCTGTTTCCTGGGTGGAGCCCGCGGTGGCCCCCGAGACCTGCCCCTGCCCACCTGGGAAAGCACAGGTCGTGGGGGGGGGGAGTCCCTGCGCGGCAGGCGTGTGGGCGGCCAGCGGGGGCCGCGGGGACACGGGCAGGGCCCGTCCCCGTGTAGGCAGCCATGCCTAGGTGTGGCGTGGTTGGGGCTGGCCCATCCCCTTCAGGGCGTGTGGCTCCGTCCCTTTGTCAGCCTTGAGAGTTTGGATTCTAGAGCAGGGAGCTGAGCTGACCTTCTGACATGTCACTGCGCGGGAGGGACCGTGAGAGAAACGGGAGCCGGGGGTGGGGCCGCCCCGCCCCTAGTTTCAGAGGAGAGCCCCCCCCCCCCCGTTTGGGATGCCCGTTGGCCCAGCCAGTCCCCTCCATCCAGTCTCCAGCGAGGTCAGAGGAGGATTCAGAGGACAGGGGAAAATTCCCTCACCTCAGACAGCCCGGCCCGTGGTGCCGGCAGTGAGATCCCATCGCCCGGCCATTTCCTGCCACACTTCCCGTGTGAATTTTGTCGCTGCCCCCCTCACACCTCACAGTGAACATCTCGCCCCAGATGCTCTCCCGTGTGGGAACTGGCGCGCGGGGGGGGGGGCCGTCGTCCGCTCTGCTCACCTCACTCTGAGGCGGGAGTAGAAACAAGTTCCTGCCATCTAGACCCTCCCGCCGCCGGCCTCCTAGGAGCGTTGGTTACAGGTGTGCACAGGAGGAGGAGGAGGAGGAGGAGGAGGAGGAGGAGGAGGAGGAGGAGGAGGAGGAGGAGGAGGAGGAGGAGGAGGAGGAGGAGGAGGAGGAGGAGGAGGAGGAGGAGGAGGAGGAGGAGGAGGAGGAGGAGGAGGAGGAGGAGGAGGAGGAGGAGGAGGAGGAGGCGAGCACAGGAGGAGGAGGAGGAGGAGGAGGAGGAGGAGGCGAGCACAGGAGGAGGAGGAGGAGGCGAGCACAGGAGGAGGAGGAGGAGGCGAGCACAGGAGGAGGAGGAGGAGGCGAGCACAGGAGGAGGTGAGCACAGGAGGAGGAGGAGGCGAGCACAGGAGGAGGTGAGCACAGGAGGAGGAGGAGGTGAGCACAGGAGGAGGAGCAGGAGGAGGCGAGCACAGGAGGAGGAGGAGGCGAGCACAGGAGGAGGAGGGGAGCACAGGAGGAGGAGGAGGAGGTGAGCACAGGAGGAGGAGGAGGTGAGCACAGGAGGAGGAGGAGGAGGAGGTGAGCACAGGAGGAGGGGAGCACAGGAGGAGGTGAGCACTGGAGGAGGAGGAGGAGGCGAGCACAGGAGGAGGAGCAGGAGGAGGTGAGCACTCTGGCGCGTGGCCTGGGGAGGACATGGGGAGTCACCGCGTGGTTGAGTGCTGCCTCTCACCGCCGCTGGTGTCCGGCAGCCATGCATGGAGCCCTCAACCAGCGCTGCCCAACTCGCCCAGGAGGACGCAGACCGGAGCGGATGGAAACTGCCCAGCGGTGTGGGTTTGTCCTGGAGAAGCTGTGCGGAGCCAGCAGCCAGGGAGCGGTGGCGGCTGCACCTCACCTCCAAGTGGAGCCGCTGTATAAACACCACGGCCCAGCCTGCTCCGGGCTCCCCGCCCCGCCCCGCCCCGCCCCGCCCCGCCCCGGCTGCAGCGCTCTGCTCCAGGCTCCCCGCCCCGCCCCGCCCCGGCTGCAGCGCTCTGCTCCAGGCTCCCCGCCCCGCCCCACCCCGGCTGCAGCGCTCTGCTCCAGGCTCCCCGCCCCGCCCCACCCCGGCTGCAGCGCTCTGCTCCAGGCTCCCCGCCCCGGCTGCAGCGCTCTGCTCCAGGCTCCCCGCCCCGCCCCGCCCCGCCCCGGCTGCAGCGCTCTGCTCCAGGCTCCCGAGCTCCTGCATCGTCAAGTCAGCTTAGTGGGACTTGAGTTTAGCTCTGCAGCCAGAAGCTGGACCCGCTGTCCAGGGAACAGCCTGCCCTGCAGACGTGCAGGGGGCCTGGAAGCCAGGGCTGCTTGGCCACTGGCAGGTACCCCCACCCCCAGCTCGCTCTGTCTGAAGCAGGACAGCAGGGGAGTCTCCTGGCACACAAACTCCAAACTCCTTTTTTAAACCTTTGATTTATATCTCTAGTGAGCAGTGGTGGACCTGGGTCCCCGGGTGGGCTCCTCCATCCCCTCCCTGGGAGACACATCCATGTGTACATTCAGCCCAGACGGGCCGCCCGGCAGACCCGCCATCTCTGCGGAGCCCGATGGGGGCGCCACATTCAACTGCGAGAGACGCCCCTCGGAGGAGATGGGTCTGTCCTTCTTCTGTCCTGAAGAAACTGCAAGACAGGGGGGCCTCAGCTTGTTCTGCCTGGTCCCCACACCCACCAGGGTCCCCTCTAGCTTACCCAAGACTACCGTGTGTGTGTGTGTGTGTGTGCATGCACGCGTGCTCACGTGTGCGCGGGCTGCTCGCAGGCCTCCCTGCCTCTTAGGAGTGCTGATCTTGTACACACACACACACACACACACACACACACACACACACACACACACACACGACAGATGAGGGGGGAGATTGGCTTAGTCGCCTGGGTTCGAGCCTCACATTCTGGCAAAGACCATACAGGCCTCCTGTGGTAGCCCCTTGACTGTCTGTCTGTCCTAGCTTCTCAGGGGAGACCAGGAACCCTATGGCCTTTCCAGGCCAGAGGACGCCTACAGGCTAGGGTCACAGGGGCAGGGGCGGCGGTGGTGGTGGTGGTCACGCCTGGGCCCACAGCCCGGCTCTTAGAGCGTTGGTGTGTCTGAGCCACAGAGCTGGGTGCATGTCTGTCCCTCTGTCCTCTGGTGTGGAGTAGGACGGCGACAGCGTTCACCTCACAGACCTGGCGCGTGCTAACACCCAGCAACCGGGCTCCACCCCCCCGCCCCATCCCGCAGCTCCCTGGCCCTGCTGTCTCCAGGGAAGGCCTGGGCCTAGTGTCCAGGCTGCCAGAGGAAGCTACCTGAGGTGCTGTCTGCCATCATCTGTGCACTCTGAGGCCGAGAGGGCGGCAGGCTGTTGTTGCCCAGGGATGGCTGCCTGTGCGTGTGGGGCCGGGCATGCTGGGCCTGCTGCATCTGCTGCAACTGCTGGAGCTGCTGCAGCTGCTGCAACTGCTGGAGCTGCTGCAGCTGCTTGGACTTGGGCTTTGCCATTCCTGGGGCTGAGAACGGCAGGAGAGGAGGGTCAGCACCGAGCCAGGGCTGTGGGGATGAGGAGCCAGCTGGGGTGGCCACGCTCCTGGGAAGCCCTTGGGTCATCTACGCATCTGCCCGCCTGTCAGTCCGTCCATCCATGCACCCACCCACCTAGGTTCTCTGAGGACTTGCACACATCAGCCTGGTGCAGGGGTTGAGTGAGTTCTGAGTTCAGGAAGGAGCCAACAGGGAAAGGCTCAAGGCATGATGGGAAGGGTCAGCCGTACACTTCTGGTATGAACTAAAGTGGGCCTTCAGGGAGCCTTGGTGTTGGAGTCAGATAGCGGCCCGCTGCCGGGTTGAAAAGTGAGCTAGGGCTTGGCCGCGTTGATACAGGGAACTGGACGGACACAGGAGCGGTCTGCCGTGGTGGGTGGGCGGGTGAAGGCCAGCTAGAAAGGACAGAGCCACTGTTGGGCGACTGGCTGGGTCCGGCTGCCGCTGTCCAGCGGAAAACAGCCACCTGGCATCGGGGAGGAGAAAGTGCTTGGGGCCCAGGGGCCCAAGACATGCCTGTATCAAGAGAGACCAATGTCCTTTGGAATCCAAACAGGAACCCGCAGGAGCTCGAGGCGGTCTGGGCACTCACCGTCTTTCCCTAGGATGCCTGGCAGCCTTGTGTCCATCCGTCCCTTGTAGATGTGTCCATCGAGGCCCAAGATATCAACCTCATCGTGCTACGGAGGGACGTGCATGGCCATTACTATTGTAACATCCCGAGTGTCCTCCAGGAAGGCTTGCAGTGCTCGGTGCCCTCCCTGGGACCCGAGGCCTGGGGCACTTGCCTGCAAGACTGGCTTTGGGGAGACTGGGGCGGCAGGCTTCCCGCTGACCTCAAAGCCAGTCTGGGAGTTAAAGCCAGTGCCAGTCCAGCCAGGACTATAAAAAGCATGCCGAGTCTGGGCTGAGCGCAAGGCGCAGGGAGGGGAGGATAGGGCAGCGTCCCGAGGCCTGCCCATCGTGGGAGCTGTGGTGTGGTGTCTGGGAGGCGGGTGGAAGGGTGACATCCTACCCAGCAGAGAGCCTGGGGCTGGAGCCGGGGAGGAACCGTACATCCTAGCTACTTAGGGAGGCTGGGGCAGAAGGATCTGTCATTGAGTTCAAGTCCTGCCTGAGCAACTTGGTGAGAAGACCATGTCTCAAAAAGTGAACCGAGGCCGGGGGATGGTTTGGCCAGCCACTCCCAGGACAGCCAGGAAGGGAAGAAGGCAGAGGGGGCTCAGGGCAGAGGGCCAGGCGGTTCTCCAGAAGGGGTGCGGCAGGGCTCTCCTCCCCGTGGCTCCCGGCACACCTTCATGGTAATCTGGATCTCCTCCAGCGGGGACAGGTGCTGTGGGCGGTTTCTGCGGTAAGGGTAGGTGAGGGTGTGGCTGCCCCCACAGCGCCGGGGCACAGTTGAGTAGGTGTAATCTGCGGTCTCTAGCCCCCTGGGATGCAGAGACAGGGAGTCGCTTTGAGTCACCAGGAGGGTGGCCACGCACACCACACGCCATGCGTGCGACCACTCTTAGACACACACTCGTACACTCGAGCTCACCCTTCACCCCACCCCCACTGCTACCCACCCGGGCAATGTGGTGCCATTGCTCTTGCACCCTGGGCGGGTGACCTAGGCCAAACTCGGTCACCAGGGAGGCGTGGGTCCCTGGCCTGTCGTCCTACCGTTTGTAGCACGGGTGGCTGAGGCACTGGGCATGCAGCAGCTCTCGGATCATCTGGCTGCTGGCCTTCACCGAGCCCCCAAAGTGGATCTGCACCTTCTCGATGTCCATGAGCATCTTGGAGTGCATGCTGCGCAGGCGCCCCACGCTCCTCTCCATCTGTGACAGGTCACCCCGAGAGAAGCTGCCGCCCAGCTTCAGGCTGTGGGACCGGGGGCCAGAGGGCAGACAGAGGTCAGCTCAGGGCCAGACGGAGCCCCACAGGCACCTCCTCTGGCTCCAGCACCCTCCCTGTTCTGCAGGGCCCTGGGTGAACTGGGCTAGAGGCCCACGCCATGGGCCCTTGACTGAGGGCTGAGGGTCACCGGGCAGCTCTCAGAGACCCTGGAGGGACCACACTTGCTAGGGAAGGCTTCCCCTAGACTCAAAAGCCCTCTTCCCCCACAAAACAAATACATGAAGTGTAACAAAAAAATTCAAATACCAAACAAGAAAGTCAATCTAGTGGCCCCCGTCCTGATCCTGGGCAGAGACCCTCGGCCTCCCACAGTGCCCTCTGGAGCCATCTTGGTCCCCTTCCCGCCCCTCCCCTGCCCCGCCCAGCACCAAACTGTCTTTTACTTGCGGCTCTGCTGTCGGACCTGCTCCAGCTCAAACACCGTGTAAGGCCGGATGGAACGGTGGCCTGGCATGCTGGGAACTATAGGGGTCATGGATAGGACCCTGGGTGGGGACAGGAGGAGGGGAGGGGAGGGTGTGAGAAATCCCACCATTCAGCAACACCGTCTAAAGGCCATTCCTAAGTGCTCAGCGTGGGTGGGCCCCTAGGAAGGACCAGGGACAGAAGGGGACCCAGGACAAGAGGTTAGGATGAGCGGGGACAGGGAGACAACCCCCCCCCCGGCTGGGCTGCCTGCTCCCTCCCACCAGTGCTGCGGGCAAGGTGTGGGCACTCACTGTCCCGTCACAGAAGTCTCCAAGGGACGGTCACAGGACAAGCAGTGGAAATGAGCCAGCAGCTGCCTGTCAGGGATGGAATAGCAGGTGAGACCCACAGAGTTTGCCCCCTGTAGGATGGAGCAGAGCAGGTGAGACCCAAGGATGGAGCAGAGCAGGTGACACCCACAGTCTGCCCCCTGTAGGATGGGCCCGCTGGCAGGTCAGGCCGCGGGGTGAGGTGACAGATCCTGCCCTGCTTCTTTCTGGCATTCCCCTGCTGGCTCTTAACCGTCCCCCTCCACACCCTGGAGCAGCGGGCCAACTCAGTACCTTGTGTATGCCTCTAGTGCCCCCTGGCGGCCACAAGTGGGATTTCCCTACCCAGGTCCCCAAGGGTCATCTTGGTCACCCCCCAAGTGTAGCACAACCCAACCCCAAGGGCCTTGCACCTCCCTCCTGCCTTTCTCCACCATTATCTGAAGGGCCTGCCAACTTTTGGGGAGGAGGTTTCAAGATACAGTCTCTCTCTTTCTCTGTGTAGCAGCCCTGGCTGTCCTGGAACTCGCTCTGTGGACCAGGCTGGCCTCGAACTCACAGAGGTCCGCCTGCCTCTGCCTCTCAGTGCTGAGATTAAAGGTGTGCACCACCAGTCCCCGCTAAAGCCTGATTGACAGCGCTGACTCGGGGGCGGGGGCGGGGCGGGGCCTGCCCAGCTTGCCACCCGCGGGTTCCCCACTGTCTTCCTGGCCTCACCTCCGCATGGCAGCTGCCTCGTCTGCCTGGTAGAGCGGGGAGCGCTCTTTGAGCTGCTGCCTCAGCGACTTCCAGCGATCCTCCAGCATCTGCTTCACTGGGTCCAGCTCCAGGCGGTCCAGCTGGGGGACGGGCGCCAGGTGAGCTTAAGGTGGCAGGTCGATGGGGGGAGGGGCCTAGCCTCGGAGGGAGTGCCGTTGTCTGACGGCAGGGCGAGCAGCCCAGCCCCGCCCTGCATCTTCCCCCGCCCTCACCTTGCTGTCCATCTCTGCCAGGAGCTTGTCCAGAAGTTTCTGCCAGTCCTGCTCCTGTCCACTCATCTTGGCTACCAGTTCCTGCATCATGTGATTCAGCTGCTCTGTGGTGGCGTCAAATTGGATCCGGCTCACTTTGGATGCCAGAGCGCTCTTGTCTGCTTTCTGCACGAGAGGACCAGCGTGGGGGTAGGCGTGTCCCTCCCCATTGGCTCCATACCCCCACCCCTGCCCTGACCCTGGCCGGGGGAGGGGGCCAGAGGGGACTCCTGGGGTCTGGTGCTCACTACGTCAATCTCCAGCTCCAGGCGGTCCCGGTCAGCCTTTTCCTTCTCCAGCCTCTCTATGCCCTGGTACAGCACCTGGGGACCCACAGAACAGAGGAAATGAGGGGTCGGCAATGCTGAGTGGCAGGGGTGGCCGGGCTGGGTGAGCCCCATCTCCACCCCAGGCGCCCTGGGGCTGCTCACGTCAATGTCTTTCTGCTTCTGCCGATGGTCCTCGATGAGGTTGCTGGTAGTGATGTTGAGCTTCTCACAGTCGCCCTGCACTTGGAGGATGGCACTCTGCACGTGGCCCAGCAGCTCCTCATCCTGCAGCAGGGGCAGGGAGGCTCTTGGGAGGCCGCTGGGCCACCTCACAGGCAATCCCCTTGAGTCCCCATAAGCAGTGGACTGCCTCTAGTACCACAACCAAAAGCCAGGCGTGGCACTGCCTGTCGTCCCAGTGCTCAGGGAGCTGAGCGAGATTGGAAGTCCCAGAACAGGCTGGGCCATGTAGTCAGACTCTTAACTGACAAGGGCAAAGCTTGGGAGACAGCCCCACATGTCAACGTGTTCGTTACTAAGCCTGGCGACTTGTCTTCAATCTCCAGGACCTCACGGACAGAAAGAACCGACCCTCCCGCAACTTGTCCTCTGACTTATGCAAGTGTGCTGTGATATGTACACATGTGTGTGCATGCGTTTGTGTGTGTGTGTGTGTGTGTGCACTCAATAAGCCCATACATGTTAGACAAAACCATCATTGTAGCGGCATCTTGCCTTGTCAGTGATGGAAAAGTCCTTTTTTATTTTTATTATTTATTTATTTTGGTTTTACAAGACAGGGTTTCTCTGTATTGTTTTGGAGGCTGTAGGTCCAGCCCGGCCTCGAATTCACAGGGATCCGCCTGCCTCTGCCTCCTGAGTGCTGGGATTAAAGGCATGCGCCACCACCGCCCGGCTGAAAAGTCTCCTTTTTTAAACCTTTGCTATTCACATGGTGTTTTTTCATGAAATTCCTGGCAAGGCGAGATGCCACTACATGTCACCCAACACATATGCTCCCTTCCAAGCCATTCTGGTTTTCCCCAGTGGCATTCGCTAACACTTGTGTCCCTCAACTGGACATAGTCACCAATCCTCCCCATGCAGATAGATTGGCATCAGTGGCCTTTGGAGTCGCCAGGGAGGTGACCGAGGCTCAGATGTGCCGTGTTGTCCTATGGTCCCTGAGGGGGTGAGGTGTGGGCAACCATCAACTCTGTGTGAATCCCCAAGTCCGAGAGCAGAAACTAGCATCTGGTGGTGACCGCCACCCCAGCCACAAGCTTTCCCCGCAGGGGAAGGCTAGAAAGTGTTGGGAACCCAGGCGATCGAGGGGAGCTGTGCCCTGCGTTCCCTACAGGCACTGTCCCACCCTTTGGTCAGCCAGTGTCGTTCCACCCGGTAAGCACACCCTTCCGGTGCTCTGCTGTCGCCGAAGCCAGCCCTGCTGCTGCCGCCTTGGGTGTGACCTGTCTAAGGAACAAGGCCTTCTGTGGGATCTGGCCAAGGGGCTTCACTGTGGGGACCTGACCCTCAAGCTCTCACACAGGCTCCTGTGGGGCCCCTGGGAAGGCAGCCCCTGTCACCCTGTGAGGGAGCTGAGCAGACTCGCCTGGCTCTGCAGCTTGGCCTTCTTGGAGGGCCTGGAGGCAGCCAGACCGCTGACCATGTCCTGAAGCTGCTCGTAGCGCTGAACCAGCAGGCTGACTTGGTGGCTTACATCCAGACTGCAGGCTGGACAGGTGGCCTCAGGGTCCATCTGGCCGGGCACCATTGCACTTGCGGACTTGTGCGGGGTTATGCTCATGGACAGCAGCGTGGAGGAGGAGCTCAGCATGCTCTCGATAATGGTCCTGAGCTTGTCCAGCTGGATGCAGGGCAGGCATGAAGCAGGCAGGCAGGTAGGTCAGGGCCACGTCTAACCACTAGTGTGGCACATTCTGCCTCTCCCCAGACGTGACGCAGGACAGCCGCCGCCCCCTTGGCACCTCACAGTCGACAGTTAGGCTCCACCCATCAAATAGTTTTTCAAATGCCTTTTTCTGCCAGCAGGCAGCGTCTAGTGACAGAGGAAGCACCTGTGTTTGACCGGGTTTCTCCAGCCAGTCTGTGGGCCCAGCGTAAGGGCACAGCTTCTGTAGCTAAATCCTGAAAGGGTGTTCTCACAGAGCTCTGATGGCCCAGTGGTCTTTCAACACTGGGGGTTTTACATGCTCTCTCTCTCTCTCTCTTTCTCTCTCTCTCTCTCTCTCACTCAGGGTGGAAACCCTTGACAGTAAAGGCGCGTGAGAATCGCAAATACAGCTACATGCATCTCTCAGGGTCCCAAGGTGCAAGTCCGCTCCAGGGAGAGCCGCTCAGCCTGGCCTTCCTGTTTGCCTCTTCTCCCCAAGGTCTTAGCTTGTCACCACCAATGATGGGTCCTGGGCGGCCAGCTGGACTCAAGAGCAACCAGCCTAGACCTGTTGAGGGAGCTGCCATCCCCTTCCTAACGGGCGGTGACACCAAATAGACGCATCTGAGACTCTGTGAGAGGACCCAAGGGAAGGGCGGCGTGGCGTGCACAGCCGGGAGGGGTGAGGGGAAAGGTCGGCACCCGTGTTCAAAGCCAGGCCCAGGAAGTCAGAGGGAGCTGTCTGCCCCTGAACCGGGGGCTCTCTCTCCAGCCCTCTGCAGGCCCACGGGCAACACGCTGCCCTTCTGCTCTGGCCTGAGGCAGCCGTCCTCAGCCTCCCAAGGAAGGGTCCTGAGCTAAGGCCAGAGCGGCAGAGGGCTTCCAGGGCGGATGAAGGCACGCACGCTTATCTCTCGGAGTTGGTCCTCAGAGAGAAGCTGGCCGGCTCGGTGGAGCCTTCAAGAGTAAAGAGCGGATCCCTGGGACACTAGGGCCAGGAGGATGTTTTGGAAAGAACAACGGGAGTGTTTGGAGAAAGGCAGGGAGCCCGGGTAGCCAGAGCCTGGTAGTGCAGGCGGGACAGAAGGCCGGAACCTTCTAGAAAGGAGGCTTAGGGTGCCAGGAGCCCAGGTATGGAATGCTTGCCTAGGAGCCTGGGTTCCATTCCAGCACTGCAAAGAGGAAACAAAAAAGGGCTGCGAAGGAGGCGGGGGTGGGGGGTGAGGGGTCCTGTGGTGCAGGGGGTGGGGGGCGGGGGTCCTGTGGTGCAGGGGGTGGGGGCGGGGGTCCTGTGGTGCAGGGGGTGGGGGCGGGGGTCCTGTGGTGCAGGGGGTGGGGGCGGGATCCTGTGGGGTAGGGGGCCCCAGCACCCACACGGTGGCTCACAGTGACCTCCAACTCTAGCTCCAGTCAATAACCCCACCCGTACTGCAGTGCTTTGGGTGAAAAGTGCCCCTCAGAGACTCGTGAATTCGAACGCCGCGCGGTCCACAGTTCGCTGCCTCCTTTGTGCGTGTGGAAATGTGGCCTGCTAGCTTCCTGCTCCGGCCGCTGTCCTTTCCCGGCCGGGCGTGAGGCCTCCCTCACCATGACGGGCCCTATCCTTCTCTAAGTTGCCTTTGGTCAAGGCATTTTACCACAGAGTAACTCCACACGTGCTCCCCCCCACCCCAAACAGGGCTGTTCTCCAGCTGGTGAGGACTAGGCTGCCTACCGACCACCCCGGCCTGACTCTGGGAGGGGGCCCTGGGGCCTCGGCGGGCCGCAGACCACTCACCTGCTCCTGCAGGTAAAGGGAGGCTTCCGAGACGGAATTCTCCATGGCGGCCTTGCCCCGCTCTTGGCTCTCCCTCAGCTCAGACAGCTCCTTCTCTATGTCCGACACTGTGACTCTGCAAGGTACAGACAACAGCGGCTTCTGCCACCCGCCCAGAACCCTTTGCTCGGGAGTGCAGAGGCCTGACTGTTGGAGACACAGCAGGGTAGGAACCCCAGGAGGAACCTGGTGGTGGCGGCACGCGCCTTTAATCCCGGCACCCGGGAGGCAGAGGCGGGAGGATCTCTGTGAGTTCGAGACCAGCCTGGTCTACAAGAGTGAGTTTTGGGACAGGCTCCAAAAAGCTACACAGAGAAACCCTGTCTTGCCCCCCCAAAAAAAACAACCCCCCAAAAACCCCAGGAGCCTCTGTCCAGGGGTCCCAAAGGGGTCCTGTGGTGGGACATAGCCCAAGGAGGGACACCGCAAGAAGCATCCTGGTGCCAACGTGAGGAATGTGGGGCAACTCCTACAAGATCTTGAAAGGACCAGGGCAGCCTGAAGAGTTGGTACAATCCACTAATGCCTGGGCCTTAACCACGGTGCCAGTCACGGACACCAGCTTCTCAGAGAGGGGGGGTGTCACCTGAGGATGCCCAGCTGCAAGCTCAGCTGACTGGGTTTTATGTCCTTTCCTCCGGAGCCGTCACTGTCCAGCAGCTTCTGTATCTTCTCCAGCTATGGGCACAGAGGAGGCTGAGTGTCAGATAGACCTGAGTATCTGTTCCCAAGGTGGCCCTCAGGATAGCCAGCCCTCTTCTGTCTCATGGACGAAGCCACTAGCAATGGAGACCCAGCAGCCTCTTGCAATGGCCTCTATCTCTAAAGAGTCCCCAGTAGGGCTCCAAGGCTGTCACATGTGATGTAAGGAGCAGATGTGTGTTACAAGCACTCTTTCCTGCCAGCCTGCTCCCACAGCTGCGTCAGCCCCAAATGAACATACAGATGCTGTATTAAATATGAAGCTGTTGGCCAGTAACTAGGGCTTCTTATTGGCTAGCTCTGTCTTAATTACTAACCCATTTCTTTTTTAAATATTTTGTTTATTTATTATGTATACAATCTTCTACCTGCATGACAGCAGAGGGCACCAGATCTCATTCAAGGTGGTTGTGAGCCACCATGTGGTTGCTGGGAATTGAACTCAGGACCTCTGGAAGAGCAGTCAGTGCTCTTAGACCACTCAGCCATCTCTCCAGCCCTTATTAACCCATTCCTATCAATCTATGTATTGCCACAAGGATGTGGCTTACGCAGTAATGCCCGAAATGGTGCTACTCTTCCGGCAGCATCAAGACTCTGTCTGGCAGACTCACTCTGCCTGTTTCCCAGAATCCTCAGCCTCCTCCTCCTCTCCTAGCCCTACCTGTCTCCCTGCCTGACCAGTCAGGGTTTTATTCATCAACCAATAAAGAGAAACTCATACAGAATAATGTCTCCCATCAGATGTATGTTAACTGGGCTACATATATACATATACATATACATATACATATACGTACACATATACATACACATATACATACACATGCACGTATACATATACATACACACACACATATATATATACATATATATATATAATTTTTCTGAGACAGGGTTTCTCTGTATTGTTTTGGAGCCTGTCTTGGAGCTCGCTCTGTAAACCAGGCTGGTCTCAAACTCACAGAGATCCGCCTGCCTCTGCCTCTCGAGCGCTGGGATTAAAGGTGTGCGCCACCCCCACCACCCGGCCAGGGCTGCTGATATTTTAAAGGCACCGGGTATCCCTCTTCCTGCCTGGTATAGGGTTGTGTTTTCTATGTGACTGGGTAGTAAGGGCGTGCCTAAGCTGCCGTGCAAGGGGCGGCGCTGTGGGCACCCGCCGAGCGGAGGCCGCCGGGTGTCTCATTTGCCCTCACGCACTCTGGCTTTGTCCTGGCGAACTTCCTTGTTCAGGGACCTCAGGCTCTTCATCTGCTCCTGCAGGTCCTGAGGGATGGACTTTTTGACTGTGGGACACAGAGGCTGCCGTCAGGGCGTGAGATTCCCACTGGTCTCCCCACCCGTCTCCAGCCCCCTCGATAAGGAATCGATCCCCGGGATCCACGTGGGAAGATTACTCGGTGCCGATCCGCTGGTCGAGGGTCACTCAGTCACTGCAGCGGCCATTTCCATCCATCAGCCACTGGAGTCAGTGACTGGGCAAATGGTAGGCTTCATCCGCAACTCTCTCTCTCTCTCTCTCCCCCTCCTCACCTCCAGGCTCTGCCCCTCCCTTAGTATACCTCCCCCCCCCCCCCCCGCTGTTCCCCAGGCCTCCCCAAGGGCTGCTGCATCTGGGCGTGGACTCAGGTGTGGGGTAGGAGTGTGCCCTGCTCGGGGGATGGAGGGATGATGCCAAGTTTTGCTTGGCGCCCCCTCTGCGGCAAATGCTACTCACCCATGGCCGTCAGTAGGTACTGGATCTTCTCCAAGTCGGTCTGACCGGCGAGTTCCTCCTCCAGGTCCTTCATGTGCTCTTTCAGCTCCACGTAAATACCGATGATCTCACCTATCAGGCGAAACGACTCCACGGCCATGGGGAAGCTTGGAGCCAGTTTCTCCAGCGATTCACTCCCCGAGGAGGTTCGCTGGAGAAAGCTCAGGGACTCTCGTGTCCTGGCGGTGGTGTCAGTGGTTTCTTGGTCTGGGCCCGCTGGGGTAGCCCGTTCAAATTGAACTGAGGTATGTTTCCTGCTTGGATCCCAAATGGCCTGGCCAGATGTGTCAGCTGCCTGTTCTGCGCCAGGGTAATTCAGGGCAGCCCGTATTTGATCATATGGAACTCCACCTGGGATTGTGGAGCCTTGAAGATCTGGAACTTGTTGATCTGGGCCCTGATGCCCCATGGCAGAAAGTATATCTTGCCTGACTTGGCCTTGTACTTGTTCAGGAGTTAGCATAGGATGCCGATATGTATCTCTCTGCCATGATGGAAAGCTACGAAGCTCTGTGCTTGGTGCTATGAAGTCTGGCTGACTTGTAATGGGTTGTCTCAAACCAAGAGGATATGCGCCAGGTTGAATAATACCAGGAGGATGTACACCAGGTGGAGCCAAGCTAGGCATGTACGTACCAGGCTGAACCAAGTCATAAGGCCCTGTACCAGGCTGAACCAAGTCATAAGGCCCTGCACCAGGTTGAACCAAGTCATAAGGCCCTGTACCAGGCTGAGCCAAACCATGAGGTCCTGCACCAGGCTGAGCCAAACCATGAGGTCCTGCACCAGGCTGAGCCAAACCATGAGGTCCTGCACCAGGCTGAGCCAAACCTTGAGGGCCTGCACCAGGCTGAGCCAAACCTTGAGGGCCTGCACCAGGCTGAGCCAAACCTTGAGGGCCTGCACCAGGCTGAACTATTCCTGGCTGCATCATAGCAAGCCCAGCTGCCCTAGGCTGATCTGCCCCAGGCTGCAGTGAGCCACGCTGATCTATGCCAGGCTGCAGTGAGTCTTCCACAAGCTGGAGAGAGCCACGCTGATCCACGCCAGGCTGCACCAGGCCGCGCTGATCCACGCCAGGCTGCACCAGGCCGCGCTGATCCACGCCAGGCTGCACCAGGCCGCGCTGATCCACGCCAGGCTGCACCAGGCCGCGCTGATCCACGCCAGGCTGCACCAGGCCGCGCTGATCCACGCCAGGCTGCACCAGGCCGCGCTGATCCACGCCAGGCTGCACCAGGCCGCGCTGATCCACGCCAGGCTGCACCAGGCCGCGCTGATCCACGCCAGGCTGCACCAGGCCGCGCTGATCCACGCCAGGCTGCACCAGGCCGCGCTGCACCAGGCCAGGCTGCACCAGGCCGCGCTGCACCAGGCCACGCTGATCCAGGCCACGCTGCACCAGGCCACGCTGATCCACACCAGGGTGCGCTAGGCCACGCTGATCCACACCCAGCTGCATTAAACCACGCTGGTCTGCTACAGGCTGCACCAGCCTAGACGGAACTGCTACAGTCTGCAGCAGGCCACGCTGATCTATGACAGGCTGCCCCAGGCCACGCTGAACCCCTACAGTCTGCACCACGCCACGCTGGTCTATGACAGGCTGCCCCAGGCCTCGCTGATCTACGACAGGCTGCACCAGGCCACGCTGATCCACGATAGGCTGAATTAAACCACGCTGATCCATGACAGGCTGCACCAGCCTAGACTGAACCCCTATAGTCTGCACCAGACCACGCTGATCCATGACAGGCTGCACCAGACCACGCTGATCTACGACAGGCTGCACCAGACCACCCTGATCCATTATAGGTTGCACCAGGCCATGCTGATCTATGACAGGCTGCACCAGGCCATGCTGATCTATGACAGGCTGTACCGGGCCATGCTGATCCGCTCCAGGCTGCACCAGGCCACGCTGATCCGCTCCAGGCTGCACCAGGCCACGCTGATCCGCTCCAGGCTGCACCAGGCCACGCTGATCCACGCCAGGCTGCACCAGGCCACGCTGATCCACGCCAGGCTGCACCAGGCCACGCTGATCCACGCCAGGTTGCATTAAGCCACGCTGATCTATGACAGGCTGCACCAGCCTAAGCTGAACTGTTCCAGGCTGCATCAAACCACGTTGAATTGCTGCAGGTTCCACAAAACCATACTGATACATCCTAGGTTGTACCAAGTCATACTGGTCCATGCCAGCCTGCACCAAGCCACTCTGGAATACTATAGGCTGTGCCAAGTCATGCTGGGCTGCACTAAGTTGCACTGAGCCATATTGAAGTGCTCCAGGTTGTGCCAAACCAGGTTGCACCAAATCACGTTGATCCATGCCAGGCTGTTCCAAACCCTGCTGATCCATGCCAGGTTGGGCTAAGCTACTCTCTCCTGTACCCAGTTGTACTGAACCACTATGACCCACTCCAGGTTGCATCCTATCAAGTCGATCCATGCCAGGTTGCAGCAGATCTTGCTGACCTCTACCAGGTTGGGACAAACCCTGTTGTGCTGCACCTGGCTGCACAAAACCGTACTGATCAGCTCTTGGCTGATCCAAACCATGTCGAACTACACCAGGCTGGATCAAGTCAGGTGAGTATGTGTCAGGCTGTGCCCAACCACTAGGTAAAGCTGCACTGGGTTGTGCCAGACTGAGCTGATCTACACCAGGCTGTGCAAGACTCCATTCTGCACCAGGCTGCACAAAACCACGCTGATCCATTCTAGGTTGTACCGAACTATCCTGAGCTGCACCGAGTTGCACCAGCCCAGGTGCATATGCATCTGGCCGTACCAGCCCATGCTGAACTGTGCTTGGTTGTACCAATCCATGGCGATCCATTCCAAGTGGTACCAGACCGTGTTGATCTACACTAGGTTGTACCAAACCAGGCAGCAATGCACCAGGCTGTACCCAGCCACGCTGATCTATGCTCGGTTGAACCAATGCAGGCTGACCTGTGCCAGGTGGCACTAAACCTTGTTGACCTGTACCAAGTTGTGCCAAACCAGGTGAGTATACACCAGGTTGAATCAAGCTAGGCTGGCGTGTACCAGGAGGTACCAAATGTTGGTCTGTGCCAGGCTGTACCAAACCATCCCAAGCTGTGCTAGGTTGTACCAAGCCACGTTGATCTGCCCCTGGCTGTGCTGAACTCTGCCTATCTGCTCCAGGACGTGCTGAACCTTGCCAACTTGGCCCAGACTGTGCCAGACTCTGCCGTTCTGCCCCAACGGGTTCTGAAATACGCCGATCTGCATCAGACTGCACCTGACTCTGCCGATCTGACCTAACAGGTTCTGAACTACGCCTATCTGTAGCAGGCCTCACTAAAACATGGGGATCTACACCAGGTTGCGCCAAGCCACGCTGATCTACACCGGGCTGGAAAACACCACGCTCCTCTGCTTCAGGCTGGACCAAGCCACGCTGTTCTGTACCAGGATGTGTGAAGCCTGGTGCTGCTAACCTGGGCTGTCCAGAACCTGGTTGGTCAGTGCTAACTTGCAGCAAACCGGGTGACACCAAGCCGTATTGATCTGGAAGAGATGGAGGGAACGCACGCTGATCTATGCCAGGCATTACCAATCCCTGCTGATCCACACCGGGGAGGATCAGTCCCTGCTGACCTGTGCCTAACACTACAAATTCATGCTGATCTACGCCAAGTGGCATCAGCCCTTGCCTATCCATGGCCCATGGTCCCAGTCCACTGTCATACAGGACAGCCTGTTCCGTGCCACGTTGGTCTGTTCTAGGAAGTATCATGCCTTGCTGATATGCACTCAGTGGGACCGAAATAAGCTGAGCTGTACTGGTTTTGTCAAGTCCTGATTGACTCCTGTCAGGTGCCAATGGTGACAGCACACCACTCTGGCCCACGCCAAGAGGCACCAATCCCTGGTCATCCATTTCTGGCGGCGGCAGTACACCAAGCTGACCCATGGTGAGGGGTATCACAGCAGGAGGGTAAGGGCCAGGGTATAACAACGCGGGTTGATCCATGGCAAATGCTCCAGCCCCACGATCATCTGGCTTTGGGTATACTTGGCCCTGACTAGTGGGCAGCCCGCCCTGCTGGTCTCTGGCTGTGAGCAATTCCTGTTGAGGTGGGACACGCTGTTGTTCGTCTCTTCTTGGACTTGTGGAAGCTACAGACTCTCTGGTACTACGGCCATCTGTTTCTGATGTGGCCTGGGACGGCTCACGGGGCCGTAGGTGCAGATCTCGAAGTCCAACACTAGGTCTGCTCTGATCCCCACTAGTGACCCTTTCAGGGGACCGTCCTACTCCGCTGGCTAAGATCTGTTCTGGGCTACCAACGGAACCCAGAGCCTGGTCAGCCACGGAGGCCTTGGAAAGCATTCCACTGGAAAGGTCATTTGATGTCAACGACGTCATTTTGCGCCTGCCAAAAGTTGCTGTTGATGAATCTGAGCTCTGGGTAAAGAGGAGGAGGGAAATTGGTTACAACCAGTAAGAAGCAGGAAAAGCTGAAAGGCAAGCCATCTTGGGTATTGGACTGGGATGACTTAAGACCCTTGCAGAAAAGAAACCCTGTGCAAGTGTGGTATGTGTGTGTGTAAGTGTGTTTGTTGTATCTGTGTGTTATGTTTGTGTGAGTGTGTCTGTGTGTGTGAGTATGTGTGTGTGTTTGTTGTATCTGTGTGTTATGTTTGTGTGTCTGTGTGTGTGTGAGTGTGTTTGTTGTATCTGTGTTATGTTTGTGTGAGTGTGTGTGTGTGTGTGTGTGTGTGTGTGTGTGTGTGTGAGTGTATTGCGATGCTGGGCTGTGGAAATGTTAGGGAGGTCCTCTACCGCTGAACCATATTCTAAGCCCTTTGTTTTACTCTGATACTGAGGCACCATCTCCATAAATCGTGTAGACTGGCCTTGAACTCACTCTGCAGTCTAGGCAAGCCTTGAGCTTCTCATTCTCCTGCCTCCGCCTCTGGAGTTCTGAGATTACAGCTGTGCACTACCACACCCCGTTTATCAGCACCCGGAGGACTGACCCCAGCATTTTATACATGCTCAGCAAACATTATACCAACCAAGCTACAGTCGCAGCCCCTGGATTGACTTTTTAAGACAACCCCCTGGCCGCCCTTGACTTTACAACCTTCCTTCCATCTTTTTTTTTTTGTTTTGTTTTGTTTGTTTTTCGAGACAGGATTTCTCTGCATTGTTTTGGAGGCTGTCAGTCTAGCCTGGCCTCGAACTCACAGAGATCCACCTGCCTCTGCCTCCCGAGTGCTGGGATTAAAGGCATGCGCCACCACCGCCAGGCCCTTCCTTCCATTTTACTGGGATTAAACAGCCACTCTCAGCCTGCCTGCCTCTTACGAAGACCTTTGTGGTAATGTCTTATCTCCAAGATCCAGGGGACTCTTTCAAGATCCTTCATCATCAGACCTACAAAGTCCCTTTTGTCATTAGAAGGTAACACTGGAGGTCTTCTGGAGTGAGGATGTTGACATTCTGTGGGAGGAGTGGGGGGGGGCTGGAACTTACTCCAGACACTAAGGACACATTCTGTGAAACCCTGGAAAAGTGGACACAGCAGCTACAGAGGTTGTGGAAAGAGAGTCCTAGGCAGGTGGAACTATTTTTGCTAAGGGCAGATGAGACCCAGGTCTTTCTGAGGATGCCTAATGAGCAGAGCCCTGGGAAAAATTACACTTGGTTTGCAATATATTCACTGGGGAGCTGGTGACACCTGCCACCAAGCCTGACCTGAGTTCAACCCCTGGGGCCCACATTGTGGAGAAGGAGGGAAACCACCTCTTTAAGGTTGTCCATACAGGCGTCTTGGAATGCACACAGCCATACACATATGCAGACACACAGAATAAATTGTAACCCCAACCACTACAGTTTAAAGAATACAGAGAGACGGCTCAAAGGTTAAGAGCACTGACTAGTCTTCCAGGGGTCCTGAGTTCAATCCCCAGCAACCACATGGTGGCTCACAGCCATCTGTAATGAGATCTGTGCCCTCTTCTGGTCTGTGGACATACATGCAGACAGAATACTGTATACATAATAAATAAATAAATTGAAAAAAATACAGTGTCTCTAACAGTTTCAATATACACTGCAAGGGCTGGAGAGATGGCTCAGAGGTTAAGAGCACTGGCTGCTCTTCCAGAGGTCCTGAGTTCAATTCCCAGCAACCATATGGTGGCTCACAACCATCTGTAATGAGATCTGGTACCCTCTTCTGGCATGCAGGCAGAACATTGTATACATATTAATAAATAAATAAAATCTTTAAAAAAAGACATGAGTGTATGGGGGCCACACTTATAAAAAAATATATATACACTGCAAGATTCGGGAGCAGGCTGGGCGTTGGTGGCGCATGCCTTTAATCTCAGCACTTGGGAGGCAGAGGCAGGCGGATCTCTGTGAGTTCAATGCCAGCCTGATCTACAGAGTTAGTTTTAAAACAGCCAAAGCTACACAGAGAAACTCTGTCTCGAAAAACAAAAAAAAAACAAGCATGTGCGCGCGCGTGCACACACACACACACACACACACACACAGAGGGGGGGGGAGGAGGCAGATCTCTGTGAGTTTGAGGCCAGCCTGGTCTACAGAGCGAGTTCCAGGACAGCCTCCAAAGCCACAGAGAAACCCTGTCTCAAAAAACCAAAAAAAAAAAAAAAAAAAAAAAAAAAGATTCGGAGCAGTTGCTATGGGAATGGCCCATCAGCAGTCTAGCCATCACGCACAGCAGGGGCAACCCTCAGTCTGAACGGGCTCATCTTGGTCTTCCTCCAGTTTTGGCTTAAAGGCTCTGGGGAGATTTGGAATTTGGATGCCTTAAGATTATGAGGAGGACAGGACACAGAGAATCCCTGTCTCAAAAAACAAAAAGATTATGAGAAGGACCAGGAGTGGTGGTGGCACACGCCTTTAATCCTAGCACCCAGGAGGCCAAGGCAGGGGGAGTCTCTTAGTTCGAGGCCAGCATGGTCTACAGAGTAAGTTCTAGGACAGCCAGGGCTACACAGAGAAACCCTGTTTCAAACACACACACACACACACACACACACACACACACACACACGCATGCATGAACGCACACACGCACGCACAAGTAGGAACAAAATCATTTACTGGTCATTTCTTGTGGTGACTGTGTGTGTGTGTGTGTGCACGTTTGTGGAGGCCAGAGATGGTCACTACGTGTCTTCCTCAGTCCCTCTCCTTACTCTTTTTGAGGCAGGGTCTCTCACGAAACTGTGAGCTCACCAGTTCAGCATGACTGGCTGGCCAGCACGTCCCAAGGATTCTCTTATGTCTCCCTCCTCAGAACGTGGGTTACAGGCACACACCTCTCTGCCGAGTGGTGACACATTGTTTATGATCTAACAAAGCCACTGAGGGGCAGAATGCAAAGCCAGTCACACTAGTTAGCTATGGAAGCCGGGCGGTGGTGACGAACACCTTTAATCCCAGCACTCCGGAGGCAGAGGCAGGCGGATCTCTGTGAGTTCGAGGCCAACCTGGTCTACAGATCGAGTTCCAAGACAGCCAGGACTGTTACACAGAGAAGCCCTGTCTCAAAACAAAAAAAAAAAAAAAAAAAAAAAGAAAGAAAGAAAGAAAAAAAAACCCAAAACCAAAACCAAAACAAACAAAAAGCCCGTGAAATGCCACGCTTTGGGTGTCTGGCAGGCTAAAGTTAGGGCAAAAGACAAAAGTCTTACTTTGCAGATCGCTGTGGAGAACCCCCGATGGCATTTTTTTTCTTTAAATTAAGAGTTTTGAGACAGGGTATCACTATGGAGTCGTGGCTGGCCTGGAACTCTTGGTGTGGATCAAGCATGTGGTGGTCAGCTCTGCCTCCTCAGGGTGGACAGACACATTAGCAGGGGCCTCTTGCTAGATCACTGGGCCCAGCTCTGGCCACCCTGGCGTGAAGGAGGGAATGCTTTCCAGGGTGGGCTGTGAAGAAGTCTGGAGACTTCCTGGAGACAGGAAGAAAACCACCCCTGGCCAGGCTCAGCATCGTGGGCGCGGACATACGGTCTAGGTGGGCGGAGCCTCAGAGAACAAAGTGACCCTCCTCTGAGTTGCTGCTTGGACTCTAAGCTGGGGCAGCACTCGATGGCGATAGGCAGAGAGAGTGCGAAGGTGTGCTTCTCCAACCCAGGGGCTGGTCTGGTTCCCCCGTGTCGGGTGTCATGGTGGGGGAAACGTTTTTAAATGTGTCCACAATGCAGAATGTACAAAGTGAGTTATGAAGACACAAATCCGAGCATGCAGAGCATTGGTAACGATGAGGGAAGTCCTCTGGGGGGCCCCACGCAACGCCACTGCCCAGGACCCGTTTATTTACCCCTCTTGAGGCCTTCCAGCCGTCAGTGATCGCTTGTTCCAGCTCTTCCCAGGTGACCATTGTGATTTCTTCACCAGCCGGAACCAGGTTCAGCCTCCGACTCAACTGATCCTGTCAGCAACAGGTCAGGACACAGACACACGCGAGCGTGAGCAATGGATGCACACACCCACGCGGCCTGCAGATCTGACCCAGGCAGACTCACTGGCCTTCAGTGGCCAGCCCCAGGGACAGGATTGGCTGCTTCGTCTCCGTCAGCTCCGGGTAGAGCCCTGAGCAGAGATGGCAAGGCCTCTCCCCTCTATCGGGATGTGGTGCCACTTAGCGGTTGACTGCCTGTACCCCCTGCCCCCAAAGCACACAGATGCCGGCATGGGGTTGGGATGGGACCAGCCCCAGAGAGAAGCCAGGCTGAAGAGAAGCCCCTACCCCCTAGGGCCCTTTCCCCGGGGCTTCTCCTTATTACCAGGTATTCCTCTCGGTCTCTGACGGCCTTCTCCAGTTCACTAACGCGCTGAAGGAGCTCCTGCAAACAGTTTGGAAATGGACCATCACTCGTAGCCCTCCTGCCTGCATACACATGCACACACACATGCATGCGCACACACGCATGCACGCACGTGCACAGACACACACATGGACACTGCCTTGGTGCCATTGGGAGAACGAAGTGAGACGCGTGTGACTCTTTTACCTGGCAAGTGAAGCCAGGTTCCCAGTTCTTTTCGTGGTCGGTGGGTAGGAGCACTAACGGGACAGTGTGCCCAGTCAGTGCTCATGTGGGAGCCAGACTGCTGGTGTCACCTCACACTACCCACGACCAAAAGCTTCTAGCCCTATAGCACAAGGCCCAGCTGGCCTCTCCAAAATCAAGTATCAGGTCTCTCAGCAATCCTGCCAGCCTGAGCCAGCCTGAGCCAGCCTGAGCCATGGGAGGAGAAAACCCTCAGGGGTCCCTGCAAGTGACCAGCACTTCAGGTGTTCTTTACAACCTGTGCTGACCCCCAGGGTCTAAGACTCTTGAAGTTTAGAAAAGGCCGGTTGTGGTGTTGCGGGCCTGTTATCCCAGTCCTTGGGAGGTGGCTAAGAGGATCAGGTGGCCAAGGTCAGCCTTGGCTACACAGTTAAATTCAAAACCAGCTGGACTACAAGGAGGCCGTTTCAAAAAAAAAAATCTAGGCGTTGGTGGTATGTACCTTTAATACCAGCAGTCGAATCTCTGAGCTCGAGAGGCTAGGCTGGTCTATAGACTGAGTTCCACAGGACAGTCAGGGCTACACAGAGGAGCCCAAAACCAACAGAGGAAATGAGATTTGCTTCCCAGAGCAAAGATGAGAGGTGGGGCGTTCCTGGGCCTCTGCAATGCCCAGGCTGGGGTAAAAGCTAAGAGACCCCACCCAGGGCTTGGCCTCTTTGGTTTTCATCGATTTCCCTATGGGCCCCTCTGTCCTTTCTTCCTGATGGCCCCACGCCTTCATGCAGGGCCTACTGTGGTAGAAGATGGGTCTGCCTGTGTCCAGCCAGAGCGGGTCTGTCCTTTCTTCCTGATGGCCCCACGCCTTCATGCAGGGCCTACTGTGGTAGAAGATGGGTCTGCCTGTGTCCAGCCAGAGCGGGTCTGTCCTTTCTTCCTGATGGCCCCACGCCTTCATGCAGGGCCTACTGTGGTAGAAGATGGGTCTGCCTGTGTCCAGCCAGAGCGGGTCTGTCCTTTCTTCCTGATGGCCCCACGCCTTCATGCAGGGCCTACTGTGGTAGAAGATGGGTCTGCCTGTGTCCAGCCAGAGCGGGTCTGTCCTTTCTTCCTGATGGCCCCACGCCTTCATGCAGGGCCTACTGTGGTAGAAGATGGGTCTGCCTGTGTCCAGCCAGAGCGGGTCTGTCCTTTCTTCCTGATGGCCCCACGCCTTCATGCAGGGCCTACTGTGGTAGAAGATGGGTCTGCCTGTGTCCAGCCAGAGCGGGTCTGTCCTTTCTTCCTGATGGCCCCACGCCTTCATGCAGGGCCTACTGTGGTAGAAGATGGGTCTGCCTGTGTCCAGCCAGAGCGGGTCTGTCCTTTCTTCCTGATGGCCCCACGCCTTCATGCAGGGCCTACTGTGGTAGAAGATGGGTCTGCCTGTGTCCAGCCAGAGCGCAGCCAGAGCGGGTCTGCTTTGTGTCTCCTCGTGATCACAGGCCAGTGTACACGAGGGACCACTAGGACAAACTTCTCCCTCAAGAAAATCCAAGGTGCCGGGCGGTGGTGGCGCACGCCTTTAATCCCAGCACTCGGGAGGCAGAGGCAGGCGGATCTCTGTGAGTTCCCGACCGACAGCCTCCAAAACAATACAGAGAAACCCTGTCTGGAAAAACCAAAAAAAAAAAAAAAAAAGACAAAAGTATGCCCCACGCCCCACATCAGGCAATGGCAAAGCCCTTTGCTGGTCCCTGTGCGCAGGAGACACCCACCACAGCACTTCTCCGTGGATATTTACAGCTGAACATGGCTGCCCTGCAGACTGCTCCAACTGACACGGTTGCTAACCCTGCCTCCGTGTTTGTCATAGCTCTGCCTCCTTGTTCAGGTGTTCCTAATAAAGACGCTTTGTTTGGGGCGTGGTGATTTCTCCTTCTGAGAACTGGACCACTCAATCCCAACTTTCTCCCGACATCTCCCGACTCCCACCTCGTTCTCTGTGTGTGTGTGTGTGTGTGTGTGTGTGTGTGTGTGTGTGTGTGTGTGTGTGTGTGTGTGTGTGGTCCCCGTTCTTTTGCTGCCCCCTGGAGGTTAAGCAGAGGGCCAGCGCTCCTCCACTCCCAGGCTGGCCGCAAGCTGCGCGGCCTGGCCTTGAATCTGCAGCAGTCCTCAGTCTGCAGCCTCCCAAGTGCTCCGGGGATTACAAGCAGTAACCGCCATTCCCTGCTCAGTCTTCACTAATTTGCCGTGTGCGGTGCTTTGAATGAGAACCAGAGGCTCGTGTGTTCAAGTGTCCAGGACGCCACACTATTTGAGAAGGATTTGGTGTCTATTCTCCCGCTGCCTGTGGGGCTGGTTGTAGAAATCTCAGCTACTTCTCCTGTAGCACACTCTGTCCCTATGCACTCCTGACTGAACTCTGAAACTGCAAACAAGCCCCAATTAAATGCTTTCTTTTATGAGAAAGTCATGGTGCCTCTTCTCAGCAACAGGACACTCACTAAAACACAGGGTCTCACTATGTAATCCTGGAACTTGCTCTGTAGACCAGGCTGGCCTCAAACTCACAGAGATCTGCCTCCTCCCCCCCCTCTGTGTGTGTGCGTGTGTGTGTGCACGCGCGCGCGTGCACATGCTTGTTTTTTTTTTGTTTTTCGAGACAGAGTTTCTCTGTGTAGCTTTGGCTGTTTTAGAACTAACTCTGTAGATCAGGCTGGCCTTGAACTCACAGAGATCCGACTGCCTCTGCCTCCCAAGTGCTCGGATTAAAGGCATGCGCCACCAATGCCCAGCTATTTAAAAATTCTTTTTTCATTTTACTTTTTTATGTGCGTTGATGTTTTGCCTGCGTGTGTCTGTGTGTGGCTGTCAGATCCTGGAACTGGGGTATACATTTGTGAACTGCCGTGTGGGTGCTGGGAATTGAACCCAGGTCCTTTGGAGGTATAGCCAGGCTCTTAACTGCTAAGCCATCTCTCCAGTCTCTATTTCTAAGGAGAATTCATTTTAAGAGTATTCTAGCCGGGCGTTGGTGGCGCACGCCTTTAATCCCAGCACTTGGGAGGCAGAGGCAGGCGGATCTCTGTGAGTTCGAGGCCAGCCTGGTCTACTAGAGCTAGTTCCAGGACAGCCTCTAAAGCCACAGAGAAACCCTGTCTCGAAAAACCAAAAAAAAAAAAAAAAAAAAAAGTATTCTGTGATGGGGGCTGGAGAGATGGCTCAGTGGTTAAGAGCACTGGCTGCTCTTCCAGAGGTCCTGAGTTCAATTCCCAGCAACCACATGGTGTCTCCCAACCATCTGTAATGAGATCTGGCGCCCTCTTCTGGTGTGCAGGCATACATGGGGGGGCAGAATGTTGTATACATAATAAATAAATACATTTTTAAAAAAAGAGTATTCTGTGATGTTGGGCTGGAGAGATGATGGCTCAGTGGTTAAGAGCACTGACTGCTCCTCCAGAGGACCTGAGTTCAATTCCCAGCACCCACATGGTGACTCACAACCATCTGTAATGAGATCTGGCGCCCTCTCCTGGCCTGCAGGCAGAACACTGCATACATAAAATAAATAAATCTTTCAAAAAAGGGAATAATCTGTGATGTCGGCGCCCCTCTAGGTCACTTTAGGTTTTACAGGTATCTTGACAGGTTTTTTAAAGATTCATTTATTTTTATCTTATGTGCATGAGTGTCTGTTTATGGGTGTCAGATCCTGGAACTGGAGTTTGACAGTTTTGAGTTGCCATGTGGGTGCTGGGGTTGAACCCAGGTCCTCAGGAATAGTAGCCAATGCTCTTAACCGCTGAGCCACCTACCTCTCCAGCCCCAAGTGATGGGGGGTTATTAACAGCTCTAGGAAACACTGGATAGGGCTGCAGAGACGGCTCAGCAAGTAAGAGCTCCAGCTGCTCTTGGAGGGGACCGAGGTACCTCCGTGGTGGCTCCCAACATCTGTAATTCCAGTTCCAGGGAGTTGGCACCTTCTTCTGGACTGCTTAGGCACTGCATGCACGTGGGCGCACATACAAGCTAAACAAACTCGTGCACAAAGAAATAAGCAAATCATAATAAGAGCCGGGCCGTGATAGCACACACCTTTAATCCCAGCACTCAGGAGGCAGAGGCAGGCGGATCTCTGGGAGTTCGAGGCCAGCCTGGTCTACAGAGCGAGTTCCAGGACAGCCAGGGCTACACAGTGAAACCCTGTCTTGAAAAACCAAAAAGAAAAACGAATATATAAGCAAGTAAACTAAAAAAAAAAAAAAAGAAGAAAGAGAAAGGACAAGGGAGGAGAGCCGTGGCACAACGTGACCCCACTTGTGAGGTGTGGTCCCTTCCTCACCTGGGTAGTCGGCTCGGGGAACTCCTGCATCTTCTGGTGGGCTTCTTTCAGGACTCTCACGTCTTCTACGAGTTCTTGGAGCACATTTATGGGCTGCAAGGGAGAGCAGGAGCATGTGGAGCCAGCCTAGTACCCCTATCAGCTTAAGGACTGAAGGGCGGCCCCAGGAGCGCAGGTTCTGTAGGGCCGGGGTACCCACCTTGATTTCTTTCTGAGTCTTTGAGAGCCTTGGCTGTGTCACCTGCGGGGGCGTCCCGAGTACAGTGGCCTCAGGCTTCTCCAGCATCTCCACGGATTCATAGATCTTGGTGGACTTTGAGGGCGATATCAGCGGGGTTAGCAGAGTCACCTCCTCCTCCTCCGACCTGGGGAAGTCCTGGAAGAGGTCGGGGACTGAGGAGATGTACTCCACGTGCTTGGCAATGCCCTGCACCTTGTTGTCCATGTTCTTCATGTGCTTGCTGAGGTCCTGGACCTGGCTGCCCAGGTCCTTCACCTGGCTCTCCAGCGTCTGCTGAGGCACCGACAGCCTCACCAGACTCCGGCGCTTCTCCTGCTTTTCTTTGCTGGCTGACATGTGCGGGGTGCTGAAGGAGCTTCGGATCACCTCAGCGGGGCGGCCGGGCTCAGCCGACGACGGGTAGTGGAAATCGATGAGCACCTCTTGCAGGTTGAGGCTCTTGAGCATGGCGACTATCAGTGTGTGCAGGGCCGTGAAGTTCACCGCCCCCACCTCTGGGGTGCCGATCGCCAGGTCGGCCAGCTCCCGGAGGGTGACCCTGTCGGCTGCTAATGAAGGCGGCATCGTGCGCTCTGTTGGGACCCCCGGGAGCCTCAAGGAGGAAGGGCGACCAAGCGCCCCTCGCTCCTTGCAGGTCTATGGGGCCAGCAGGGCTCTGAGCAGGTGGCCCTGCTTGTGGGCGTGTGGCCTCCAAGCGGAGCGCTGGGCTCCGCTTTCCTAGCCCGCCCGGCTCTCGGCCAGCGGACGTTTGGAGCGAGGGCGCACGGTTTGCCTGCCGCGGCGTTGCTGAGGCGCGGGGGCTGCAGAGATTCTAAGAACGTACTAGGTAGGGCTGGGCCAGCCCTTCCTGCGAGCCCAGGAAACTACAGGGGGCCGGGCGTTGGTGGCGCACACCTTTAATCCCAGCACTCGGGAGGCAGAGGCAGGTGGATCTCTGTGAGTTCGCAGCCAGCCTGGTCTACCGAGTGAGTTCCAGGACAGCCTCCAAAACAAAACCAAAAAACAAACAAACAAACAAACTACAGGGGTGGGGTGCGGGGCGTTGGTGGCGCACACCTTTAATCCCAGCACTCGGGAGGCAGAGGCAGGTGGATCTCAGCGAGTTCGAGGCCAGCCTGGTCTACAGAGCGAGTTCCAGAACAGCCTCGAAACAATACAGAGAAACCCTGTCTCGAAAAACCAAACCAAAAAAAAACCTACAGGGTCGACTTTGGCCACACCCCAAGGTGCCTCCAGCTTTTTAGTAACAGGGCCAAGAGCATCTGCATGCGGAGAGGTGGTCTTGGGAGGAGAGGATGCGGTGGCCTTCTGTGGACACCAGACTCCAGCCCCTCAACACGGAAAGCCAGGCCCGCTAGCTCTTGTCTAAGGGATATAGTGTCCCTGGCAGGTGTGTGTCTCTTCGCCTCTTAGGGGAAGTTTCTAGATAACTTTGTTCACTCCTGAGGCAGGCAAGGCTGCCCTAATCTCATTTAGCCCTCAGCTAGGCGTCCTTTCAGAAAACAGAAGTAACCGGCAGTAGTCCAGCTCAGGGAGGGAGACCCACCTTGGCTACAAACTTGGATTTCCAGGTTAGTCTAAGTGGGCATCATTTTTATTGAGGGAATTCTCACTATGCTATTTGTATTGCCTGGCAACAATAGGCCAAAGGTCAATTTGCTAATCCTCGGGGTGCCTTTGTTCTCCGGCATGTGAGGCAAGACTCCTTGAGCTGTGTATCAGATGTTGTATTTCATGACAATTCATTACAGCAGCAGAACTACAGTCGGGAAATAGCAACGACAACAGTTTTGTTTGGGGGTCACCACAATGTGAGGGACTGTATTAAGGGGTGGCAGCATCAGGAAGGCTGAGAACCCCTGGGGCAGTGAGATAGTGCCATCCCAGGGCAGCTGACCCTGCAGCCTGTAAGAACACAGGTCTGCTTATTTTTTGAGACAGGGTTTTCTCTGTATAGCCCTGGCTGTCCTCAAACTCAGGAGATCTGCCCGCCCCTGCCTCCTGAGTGCTGGGATTAAAGGCGTGTGCCACCATCCAGCTCAGGCTTGTTTACTTTTTTTTGGGGGGGGAGGGGTTTGAGGAAGGGTTTCTTTGTGGGACTTGTTTACTTTTTTTGAAAAAAGATTCACTGAGTGTTGGGCCTGGTGCCCACAAGCCGGAAAGGGCCCCGGACGCCCTGGAACCCGTCACAGTTAACTGCCATCCAGGTGCCCGGTGCCCAATCAGTCCTCTGGAGAAGCAAGTGCTGCCTACGTCTGCAACTAGCTCCCTCCAAGGTCAATCTGCAGAGCATTAGCCACAGTTGACACTATGACCCAAATGTCAATCTTCACAGACAGCCCTGAGGCTTAGCATCTTTGACTCTGGGAACATCAAACCTGGGGGCTAGCACGGGCTACCCGACAGCCTGCAGCTTACTACCCTTGTCAAACACACCAGGAATCACAAAAAACAGGCAGGTGGCATTTTCTGACCCAGAAGCTGTCTATTCTACTAGTGATGTCTACACACATCTTAAAATGTCTCTTCTTGCCAGGCGGAGTTCTGGGTCCTTGATTCTAAAATTACATTTGTATTTCTAGCTAATATTTTCATTTCCCCCCTGGCTTCAAGAATAGTTTTTTTTGGGGGGGTTGAGACAGGGTTTCTGAGGTTTTAGAGGCTGTTCTGGAACTAGCTCTTGTAGACCAGGCTGGCCTCGAACTCACAGAGATCCCCCTGCCTCTGCCTCCCGAGCGCTGGGATTAAAGGTGTGTGCCACCACGGCCCAGCTCCACAGAGAAACTCTTGGAAAAGAAAACAACAGAAAGCCCATGAAGCTGGGGAGATGGCTCAGAGGTTAAACACATTTGTGATGCAAGCTGAGAACCTGAGCGCAAACCCTCAAAACCCCCACAAAAAGCCAGGCGTTCCTGGAGCCCCAGCACTGGGAACTCACAGCCAGCCAACCTAGACAAAGGGCAAGAGTCTGGCTCACCGAAGCAAGCAGGCACCGGACACCAGCAAACACCCACCCGAGTCTGTCTACTAGGCCACAGCTCTCCCTCCACCCCCAGGCTAATTATCTCAACGGCCAGTTCTCTGCGCATTTCCCACATGCGGATCAGTAACAGAAGGACCAGTGTGCACAAAGTCCTGATTGTGGGCTGGGATAAAGGAGGAAACCTCCCTGTGGTGAAATACAGTTGTACAAATAAAAGACTCCTTCCTGTCTAGGAGAGCCCACAAGTGAGTCCACTTCCTTTCCTGAGACGGCCCTCCTCTCCAGTGCGCCTGGCCGGGAACTGGAGCAGGACTGAAGACAGGAAGAGCTCTGCTGCTTGCAGAAGGCATCCCAGCCCAGCGTAGACTGCAAGTGCAGCCATCACTGCTCACCCCACCTGTAGGGGCTGGAGACAAGGCCTGATGATGGAGCACTTGCCTCACATGGAGGAGGCCCTCACTCAATCTCCAGAACGGACGTACACAGAGATTTGCCCCCAGTGCTGAGGAAGAGGACGGAGCCTGCGGAGATGTATCTGTATCTGCTCCAGCTGTGGACCCCACCACCCTGTCTTGTGCCCAGTTTCCTGCATAGCACAGACAGGGCTATCACAATCTAGGGGAGCAGAGAGCCGCACAGTAGACAAGACACCAGAGAGACAAGAAACCTTTATTCGAGAACAGTTGTTGAGGGACAGGACTACTCTCTAATCTGACTAACTCAACGAGAGCAGACACAGACATTGTTTGATGGCAGCAGGTACAGGGGTTTACCAAAGAAAAGTGATTCTGTTGATGTAGCAGAGCCTTGTCCAGGGAGAGGACACCTGCATACAACAGTGCCAGGGACACTCGGCTCCCTGACCAAGTGCAGTGTTCCCTTGCCTTCCCCAGAGCAGACACGACTGAACAAATAAGCAGAGTCTGCCCTTGGTTTCTCTTCCCCTTCCTAAGACTTTCACGGTCTGCTCAGGATAAGGAACAGGGCTGCTGATGGCAGAAAGTGAATGCCATCCACCAGCTCCGTCCTCCTGCCCACCTCAGTGCCTCCTCCTCACCAGCCTTGTAGAGACTTCCTAACTGCAGCCTATTCCAGGCTGACACACTGCTGTGTAGGCCCAGGGTCAAGGCAGCTCCAAGTTAGTCATCCACCGTGATGTTCCGGAAGAGGTAAGCCATGGACTCGCCATTGTGGATTCTCCGGATTGCCTCAGAAAGAATCAAGCTGATGTCCACAGTCTTTATCTTGGGACACTGTAGTTTCTGGAGCTCATGAGGGACAGTGTTCGTCACCACCACCTAGTTACAAAGCAATGGAGAGGACACAGTTACTCCTGTGTCGGGAAGTAGCTAGCTACAAAGAAAAGCACATCTGACATTTAATGGAATGCCTCAGCTCACTTTAGCGGGGCTGGGGGCTGGGCACTTGACTCACGACAGCCGAGTGAGCTCTGCTGAGCTGGAGCTCAGCCTTGGTTTTCACCGTAAGGAAGGGTCTTGACAAGTAACCTAAACTGCAACGCACCTCTCAAGTGCTGGGATTTCAAACATAAAATGCCGTCTAGCCAAGGTATAGATTTACAAACTGAGTACCTACTGGCTCAGCACTTCAGTCCTGAGACTGCCCGGCCCCACTCAAAACTTCATCATCATCAGGGCAGATTCAAGTCTCAAACCTTTACGCAAATCCCAGTCTCTAAACGTACACCTGCCTGAACAAGGCTGTTAGCAAGAAGTACTATTGGACAGTTTGCGCCTTAGCCAGAGACACCTGAGTTCCAAGCTCCTTTGTTTGAGACAGGGTTTCTCTGTGTAGCTTTAGAGCCTATTCCTGGAACTTGCTCTGTAGACCAGGCTGGCCTTGAACTCACAGAGATCCTCCTGCCTCTGCTGGGACTATAGGTGTGCCCCACCAACGCCCAGCTCTTTCCAGTCCTTTCCAGCAGACAAACCTCATCAATGGAGGACTCCTCAATCAGACGGGGGGCTTCAGCAGACAGGATGCCGTGTGTAGCCATGACGTAGATCTTGTAAGCTCCTCTCTCTTTCAGGATATCTGCAGCAGCCACAAAGCTCTCCACATCGTCAATAATGTCATCCTGCAAGCAGAGGCAGTTTCAACCACTCTACCCCAGCTGAGAAAGACACACGTCTCTGGCCCAAGATCTGAGCATCCTGGGACAGCCAGAGGCACCTCTGTGGGGAGAATGGGCAGAAAGAAGCGGCGAGGCTCCCAGTCCCTAGGTGTGTGTGACACAGCGGCTCCAGTTGTCAGGGTAGTTTCCCTTCCTGCAAACTCCTGACTCACTCCCTAAAGCCAGCATGCAGCTTGTCCCAAAGAGGGTGACATGAAGGGAAGAGAGAGAGAGGGAGCTGCTGCTGGTGTGGCTTTCTAGTCTGGTGACAGCAGCCAGCATGCCAATGCAAAGCTAGGCTGCACTGGGACACCTGGTCCCCTGCTGATAGTCGCAAAGGCTCATCTTTGGCTCATCTTATGGTCCTGAAATGTAAGGATGATCAAGTGTGGGCTGGTCTGGGGGGTCCAGAACCTCTAAGATGAAGGGGATGGTGCCGAACTGTCCTGTGGAGGTACTGGGCTTTAATTTGTCAGCTATCTGTTCATTTCCAGCCATTTATGGAAAAACTGTTACTTTCTTAAAGCAGACCGAGTAAGGAAGGACAATGGATGCAGTGGAATCCACCACCATGCAGGGCCCCCTGACTAAGCCCCAGAGTCCTCTGC